GGTGGGCCTGCGGCGGGTGGGGGGTTGTGAGGGCGGTGGCGGACATTGGACAGCGTGTTCGTCTTTGCCCTTCCTTCCGTGGCGAAATTCAGCCCGGAAGGGAATCGGGGGCCGGTGTCAGGCCGCCCAAGGGAGATGGATTTCTCGTTACCCTCTCCAATCCCTACTGCCTTAAAGTGCGAGGGGCATAGGCGGTCCCAGGCGGAGGATTTGGGATGTTGCCTGTCAGGCCAGGAGGCGAGGGAGAGGCCTAGCCGTGCGGCAGGGAGGTGCCGGGGCGATAGAGGGCTGCGGCCATGCCGTGGCCAAGGTGATGTTTGGAGATAAAGGCCTCCCGTTTTCCCTCACCCCTGTCACACACCCGCGTTCAGGGCTTTTCTTGTAGTGCATTTTCTAAACTTTAAACTTATTCGCAGATTATTAAACACGCAGTGTCCTGATTTCTCATATTAGCATAATAGAAACGCAGTATTTGAAAGTAACGTTAAATGTTTTTAAATAACTATTTTTTTTTCCCCTCCAATTCAGGTTGTCTAAATAAGGCAAAATCTGTTTCTTAATATGAAGAAAAGCAGAGGCCGGACAGGTCGAAATAGAAGAAGAAAACACTTGCAGAGTTTTAAGGATGGAGGTACAATCTCTGCAAGTGCTTCAAAGTAATAAAATAACCAATTGTCTGTCAAGTTGTCATTTTGTGGTACATATTTGTTAAACACCTTTGTGTTTTGAAAATAGCATTCGTGTTAGCTTTTTCCATGAAGGTATTCTAGTATTAGTTTACCAAGCAGAGCATGGTGAGTATTGTGAGCTCTCTTTTCTGGCTAATGGCAAGTACGATATTATTCTTCAATTCCTTGAATAGGCTCAATAGCTCCTACAGTTCTGAGAGCTCCCACTGCCCAGATGCCCAGAACTTAGTAAGTTAGTTCAAGGGGAACCTTTCTTGCTATTCTATTATGCTGTACTAAGATGTCCAAAATACAGTTTTTCGTACTATACAGTAAAATTTTTCAGTTTCCTTTATTTTCCAGTAGAATGCTATTTTATAGTATTAATCACGTCTTTTTTTCATTTTAGTCAACTGCAGTGACAAGCAGGAATACATTAAACTTCAGAAGTGGCTGAAAGACAGAGGGTTTGAAGACAGTAACTTAAGACCAGCAGAATTCTGGGGTAATGTTTTAATTATTAATTAGTGATAAAAATTTCTTATTTTTTAAGAATGTTAGATTCCAGCTTTCCTTTAGAATCACACACCTGGCTGGCATCAGGAAAAAGAGCCAGTTACTGTTAGTCTTTTAAGGACTTCTGGCAAATGCATGTCAATGTCATTTAACATAAACAAGTAGGTATGGAGGCCTGAAGCAGTGTAAACTGTTTCTTGTATGAAGATGATCTTGTGTGGAACTCTTGTATGAGAATACTCTTGTATGCTGCAAAACATGCACAGCTGTGCTGAATTCCATGCAGGTATTGCGATTTTAAGTGTTAGTAGTACAGTTTTAAAGAAGAGTGATATCTCTTAAAGTATTTTCAGAATCAGAACCTGACCTTGTTAAAATTTCGTAGTCTCTTTTTCCTCATTCAAGTT